GGGGGTGGAATTTAAACTGGACCTTGAAAAATGAGAGCCAAAATAAGTACAAAAAATAGCACATGCAAGACAGTGCTGAGGTGAGAAAACACAAGGTATTTGGGACAAATAAATCAAACAACACCTTTTAAACAGAGAGCTTGAGAAATGACAGGTGGGATGGAATGACAGGTTGAGCGGAGTCATAACTGTCAGGCTAGGGGATCTAACACAGGGGACAATACGAGGGGATGTTAAGAAAACTGACTTGTTGCTTAATCTTTCTGAGCCTGTTTCCCCGTCTGTAAAATAGGAATTCTTTCTCTCACGTCTTGAGTATCTCTTATGGACGAGATACTGGGCTAGATGCTTGGGGCTACAGCCATGTTCCCTATCCTCAAGAAGTAGCTTTAGGGATTAAATGAGATAATGTAGAGTAAAGTGTTTGCTTAGTGTCCGGAACACAGTAAGTGTTGAAATCTCAACATCTTTGAGATCTAAAAACACGTAAGTCAAATTCCAAGCAATCAGTCAGGGTTATTTGCAGTAAAACAGCTGCTAGCAGGACATAACAAGATGAAGGCATCCAGAGTTTCGGAACAGGGAAGTAACACCAAACAACTAACGTGTATTGAGTTCTCTGTGCAAACACGTGCTTTAAGATTAGGCTAGAAGAGGTTTATAAGAGGGACTGGAGCTGGGGAGACTAGATTAAACACTGTTAATGTACAAAGTGAGAGCACAAAGTAATAATCATTTCCTCCCTCGGTTCACGGAAGCAGAAGAGAAGTGATAGCAAGAGGACTGGGTTACAACATATCAAGGTACAGCAGCAAGTCAGTCAATCGATTGCTGCTGCCACCATGAAAAGACACACGAGTTTGCCTCTCACTGACATAAAACTGAGCAACTCATTCTTAGCGCAAATAACGTCAAATTTTAAGTTAAATACATCTACAAATGAGATGCTCTACTTAAAGGACCAGCTACTGAACAGTGCCGCAGCAGTGACTCCTGATCAGCACGAAACGTTTAAAGGCAGAAAGGAAGACACCCAGAACAATGCTCACGCGGCTGTTCACTTACCTGTGCAATGACGTAGATGCTGGAGGGGTTTGCTTTGATGAAAGCTTCAGAGAAGCCCAGTAAAACAAACAGGTGAGACTGCTGATCCCTTACAGGAGCCATGGGTTTGAGCCCTGGCCTGGGAAAATCTGCCTGCTTTGTTTTTCTTTCACTTTATTCTTTTTAGAAAAATATACAATGCCTCACTAATTAGCATAAAATTCCCCTTTGGGACCATGCCAATCCATTCTCATTCTAGGGTAGGTACATAAGAAGCCAAAGGAAGCAAAAGTAGTGCATTTTTTGAGGAAAATTTCAGAACAGTTCAAAAATAAATGCCCAAAGTGCAAAACTCCAGAATCCTTGAGATCTGAGAACAGACAAGTACAAAATCTAAGAGAAAGGGTTGTTTTCTTCATTGCCACCAAAGATCAAAAACACAGGAGTCATTCCACAAGATCTGTTATACAAAACATTCTGAGACAACGGAAAGACCCTGTACAAAGGGAAAAAAGAGTGAAAGGCAAAGCAGACCATTCCTCATTCCGCTCTTGGAATTAAAGTTTGGATCTTTTGGGGACCCTCAAGCCTTGAACTTGGTCCAAGCAGTCCTAGCAGAAGCAAACATAGGTCTTCTCTGGAAGACAGCACCTTCATCCCAGCCGTCACCTTATTCTACAAATACTTTTAACTATAGTGAACAGAAGTACACAGTCAAAGATAAGCAACAAGCACACAGGGAAGTTAGATTTCATGAGTGATACAACAGCAGAAACAACAAACAGAAAGAGGCTCTTAAAGACTTCAGAAACTGAAATTAAATACAGACTACAGAAAACCTATGCTTACTATACTTAAAGAAGTAGGGACTTCACGGATGGCGCGGTGGTTGAGAATCTGCCTGCCAATGCTGGGGACATGGGTTTGAGCCCTAGTCTGGGAAGATCCCACATGCCGCGGGGCAACTAAGCCCATGCGCCATAACTACTGAGCCTGTGCTCTAGAGCCCGAGAGCCACAACTACTGAGCCCGTGTGCCAAATACTGAAGCTACGCACCTAGAGCCCAAGCTGTGCAACAAGAGAAGCCACTGCAATGAGAAGCCCGCGCACCACAACTAAGAGTAGCCCCCGCTCGCCGCAACTAGAGAAAGCCCGCACGCAACAACTAAGACCCAACAACAAAGACCCAATGCAGCCAAAAATAAATAAATAAATAAATAAATTTATTTTAAAAAAAAGTAAAAGGCAAGTTTGAAAACAACTGCAAAGAAAGGTACTAAAAAACCACATAGCAGGGGCTTCCCTGGAGGTGCAGTGGTTGGGAATCCACCTGCCAATGCAGGGGATACAGGTTCGAGCCCTGGTCCAGGAGGATTCCACATGCCGTGGAGCAGCTAGGCCCATGAGCCACGGCTGCTGGGCCTGTGCTCTGGAGCCCGCGAGCCACAACTACTGAGCCCACGTGCCACAACTGCTGGGGCCCTCGTGCCTAGAGCCCATGCTCCGCAACGAAGAGTGGCCCCTGCTCACCGCAGCTGGAGAAAGCCCACGCACAGCAACGAGGACCCAACACAGCCAAAAATAAATTAATTAAAAAAAAAAAAATATATATATATATATATATATAAATCACAGCAGATTTTTTAAGTAGTTAAGTAGAATTTCTGGAAATTAAAAATGTAGTAATAGGACTTCTCTGTTGGTTCAGTGGTTAAGACTCCACACTTTTAATGCAGCGGGTGTGGGCTGATCCCCGGTTAGGGAACTAAGATCCCACATGCCACGCAGCATGGCCAAAAAAAATTTTTTTTAAGTATAATAAAAGATTTAAAAATCAAGGGAAGGTTTAAGAGTAAATCAGACTCAACTGAAAAGAGAATTAGTGAATGGGTAGGTCAGAAAAAAAAATACCCATAATGCAGCACAGAGACAAAAAAGAAGATATAGAAAAGATAATAAAAGACATAAAGGATGCAATGAGAGAGAAGGTTTAACTTACATTTAACCAGAGTACCAGGAGAAGAGAGAGAGCATGGAGCAAACACAGTATCTGAAGAGGTAACAGCTGGGAATTTTCCAGAACTGATAAAAAATACCAAACCATAGTTTCATGAAGTCCAATGAAACCCAAGCTAGATAAATTAAAAGAATGAAATCCAATAAAATAAATTTAAAATGGGATAAGAAAAGCAAAGAGGAACAGAAGAAGAAAGTAAGCTGGATGTAGTACTAAGATTCATTCCCCAAACACATGCTATAAGTTCCTATTTGCTTTCTAGAGAGGAACCTCAAATTTGGCTTCAAGCATTTTAGCGCCCATACAAAGAGGGAAACAGTCAATTACCAGGTTTTCAGTAAAAACCAACTAGTCGTTCAGGGAAAACAACTATTCCCAAAGGAGATAATAATTAGTAATGATAATAAACGTTTGCAACGTCCTAACAGAGTGACACATTTTACAGGACCAAAATGTTACTAAGTGCAACGAAGTGCAACTTTATAGGGAAGACCAAGGAATACCAACATGATATATTCCAGAAATGGGGCTCAATCCAGGGGGAAGATCTTAGGGGAATGGATGGCCTCCACATGCTCCAGAAAATCTTCAGTACATCAGTACTTGTCTCAAGTCAAGCTGCTGAGCAGTGGCTTTAGGAGTCTTCCTGACCAGTATCTAGGCGCACCCCGTCTGTGTGGGTCATTAGATACAGAGCCATATACTAAACTATCCGCTAAGCCTGGGGCAGGATAATAGGCTCTTGTGAAAACTGAGGAGTCAGACATCATTCCATCGCAGCTCACAGGAGTGAGGTCCAGAATGTTCTTAACCAGTCTTGCTACTCCACAAAGCAGATGAAATGGCTCTACATTCTAGAAGTGGTATTAATGGAGAAGAAATAAGATTTAACTGACAGTCATAATGAAAGAAAAAATCAAAAGGACTTGGTCCAACTAATTAGGCTGGCAGAGAGGAGTCAAAGCTGCCTACAAAGTTTTGAAGGACGGAGAACAGAAGTCCTGTGAAACAAAACAACTAGGCAGACACATTTGGAAGGAAAGAGAACAGCTCAGTTTTACACAAAATGTGTGAGTCTGACCATCTGAATGGAAATGTCTGAAGACATTTTCTAGAATTTTCTAGAAATGCATGACTAAATCTCAGGAAAGGAATTAGGGATAGGGCTAAAGATTCAGAAATCTGTACATGGAGATAATAACTGAAGTCACTGAGTAGTTCTAATTCCCATACTACCAAAATCCCTTCTCCTCAAACCACTGCCCTGGTAATGCAAACAAGACAACTTGATCCCACAACAAGATATGCCATGTGAAAATACCCAGCCACAATACAAAAAGCAGGGTGTGTTTCAGAGTGACCCGACCCACAGGGAGAGCATCCAATACAGCTACATAGAGTCTGATACAGCAAGATAAACCTGCAGTTCTAAGTCCCATCACTAGAAATTAGAAAGGAGTTAGACTGTATGGCTTACATACAGAGAATGATACAATTTCTCTACAAAGTAAATACTACCTGCTCTCCATTTTAAATTTAAGAACACACAGGTACATTCTGTTCATAGGATCAGAATTTCCTAAGAATTATTAAATTGGGTACATGAGGATTTATTAGATATGTCTGAAATTTTCCATGATAAAAGGTTTTTTTTAAATTTAAAAAATTCCCTAAGACTCAACAGGAGTGAAGACATATCTCTGTGTCTTTGAACAGGTGAAGTCAACCTTCACGTGACTGAAAAGGCAGGAAGGACACGGTAGTTTCTTCCCCCAAAGAAAGACATGATTAAGGATACCCAAAAGGGTTCCTAACTTCTGGAAAGAAGAGGCAAGAACAAGAGATGCAGTCTTCAGATACACCGTTGGATAGGAATTAAATATAGAGGCGATGGTAGCTTAAAAATAAACTGATGAAAAAGTAAAAAGATAAACTTACTCTTTTCAATGAGCTGGTCCTGAACTCCTGCCAATGCACTTACTGCCTAAAAGAGAAAACCACCAGTTACTATAAAAATTACCACAGATCTCAGGAGAGCACTCACAGACAGAAAGGAAAGAGACAACCAACTCACAGATGGACAGGAAAGAGAAAACTCACAGAAACTTAACGGAGGTCTTCCTTAACAATGGGCCACAGAAAGATCCCCCCGCCTCACTTACAGCTGCTGAAGTAACTGAGGATTTACTGAAGAGCCGCTCTGCTTCCTTAAACTTCCGGTTCCTTCTATCGTTTTTGCTATTGGAGTTTCTAAAACACACACAAGAAACTCATTATAAGCACCAAGCTATGTCTGTGGCTCAAGCTGAGGACACACCAGGACAAATGTAAGGAACTCTTTGTTTTTTAAATTACCAAGTTCCATACAGAAATGCCTCCACACCACTTGGATTGACCAAAATGACCTGCATGCTGAATGCCTATGTAGACAGCAATGTTTTCCAATGGATGGTATGTGGTCCACTGTGACACATGAGATTACTTTAGCTTTAGGTTCACAATCATTTTCATTTAATATGTATTTATTTTAATGCCTATTATTAAAAACATCTAGCACAGACTAGTGCTACGAAGTATCTCTGTTAAATAATCTTAGTTTAAAAAACTTAAAGGGCTTCCCTGGTGGCACAGTGGATAAGAATCTGCCTGCCGATGCAGGGGACACAGGTTCGATCCCTGGTCCGGGAAGATCCCACATGCCACGGAGCAATTGAGCCCGTGCGCCACAACTACTGAGCCTGCGCTCTAGAGCCCGCGAGCCACAACTACTGAAGCCCGCGTGCCACAACTACTGAAGGCTGCATGCCTAGAGCCCATGCTCTGCAACAAGAGAAGCCACTGCAATGAGAGGCCCGCACACCGCAACGAAGAGTAGCCCCCGCTCACTGCAACTAGAGAAAGCCCGCGTGCAGCAACGAAGACCCAACACAGCTAAAAATAACTAACTAAATAAATAACTTAAAGAAAGAACCAGAGTTCCTTAGTGAAATGACTGATACCAGGTCTGAGACAAGAAAAGGACAAGGATGGGACCTCCTTGGTGGCGTAGTTGTTAAGAATCCACCTGCCAATGCAGGGGACACGGGTTCGAGCCCTGGTCTGGGAAGATCCCACATGCCGCGGGGCAACTAAGTCCGTGCGCCACAACTACTAAGCCTGCTCTCTAGAGCCCGCGAACCACAACTCCTGAGCCCACACGCCACAACTACCGAAGCCCAAGCACCTAGAGCCCGTGCTCTGCAAGGAGAGATGCCTCCGCAATGAGAAGCCCGCGCACCACAACAAAGAGTAGCCCCCGCTCGCAGTGACTAGAGAAAAGCCCGTGCGCAGCAACGAAGACCCAACACAGTCAAAAATAAATAAAGTTACTAAAAGATAAAAAAAAAAAAAAGGACAAAGGAATCAGCCTGAGGAGGCTCCCCCTGGCCACGTTTGGGACAAACTAAGGATAATGATGGGTGTGTTAGCATTGTGAAAAGTCAGTGAGCTAAACACTTATGATCTGTGCACTTCTTTGCATAGATTTCAATAAATTAATTTATACTAAAAAATAAAATAAACCTTTACAAAGTGACAGTACTAGATCCCAATACGCTATTTTTTTTTAAATCCATGCATCTACAGTGATTCTAAAGAGAGAGAAAGAGAGAATGAAAGGGAAAGAAGATAAAAAGGGAAGACTCTTCTTTCAGAATGCCAGTAATAAATGTAAAAGGAACAGTAAAATTAGAATCATCATTTTGCAACCTCCATTATAATAACTAATTCAGATAATCAACAATGGATACTAAAACCAATGACAAAAATTGGGGTGAGCAGTATAATCACACTGCCTAAAAAGTATAACCTCCAGGGACTTCCCTAGTGGTCCAGTAGCAAAGAATCCACCTTACAACGCAGGGGACGTGGGCTCGATCCCTGGTCAGGCAATTAAGATCCCACATGCCGTGGGGCAACTAAGCCTGCGTGCTAAAACTACTGAGCTTGCACACCTCAACTAGAGAGCCCTTATGCACCCTGGAGCCCACGTGCACCACAACTAGAAAGAGAAAAACCTGCACACCACAACTACAGAGAAGCCAGAGCACTGCAACTAGAGAGAAGCCCACACGCCGCAACGAAGAGCCCGAGCACCGCAATGAAAGATCCCGTGTGCCACAACTAAGACCCGACACAGTCAAATATAAATAAAATAAATAAATAAATAATAAATCTTAAAAAATAAAAATAAATAAAATGTATAACCTCCGAAATCACTTGTTAATTACAAAGAGAAAAAAATAACTTTTACAATGGTGAAATCGTATGATCAAACTTAGCAGCACCAATAATGGGGTAATCTGTCATTATGTGCCTCCTGATAAAACAGAGGTAAACAACAAGAGGTACACAAATCACTAATGCAACATTTTTGCCAAAAATATTTAAAGGATCTCTCATGAAGTCACTATAAGAAAAACCTGGAATTGGGACACTCTACAAGACAATGTCATAAACAACCTTACCACCAAAAAGGGTGGGAAGCTCCTAAATTAAGAGACTAAAGGAGACACAACAGCCAAATGCAATGCACAAACACTCACTGGTTCAAAACAAGATAGCAATGCATTTTAGGAACACTTAGGGAAATATGAATAAAGACTGTATATTACATAATGCTATTAATGTAGTGCTCATTTTCCAGGCATGATAATTGTTGGTTACGTAAGAAAGATGTTCTTATTCTTAGGAGGTACCTGCTGACATAATTTGCGGCAAATGTCATGATATCTGCTTTCAACTTTTAAATGGTTTAGCAAAAAATATATATACATATATGTATGGGAGAAAGGGGAGATATAACTACAAAGGGGTAGCATGAGGGAGATCTTTGTGATGATGGAAAAGTTCTGTATCTTGATTGCAGTGGTGGTTACAGGAATCTACCCACATGAAAAAATGACAGAACTACATATACACATTATACCAATGTCAATTTCCTGGTTTTGTTATTGTACTATATGGTTACATAAAACCCAACCATTGGGGAAAACTGTACTGTTTTTGCAACTCCCTATGTATCTATAATTATTTCAAATTTAAAAAAATTTTTAAGTGTAGATATAGGTGTGTGTATTAATACATATTATAGAAAGGGAAAAAAGAGAGGAAAGCAAATGTGGTAACAAGTTAACAACTGGTAAATGCTAGTGAAGGGTATCAAGAGATCACGAACTATTATTTCAATTTTTCTCTAGATTTTCAAAAAATTTAGAAAGTTTTCCAGAATAATATTACTAAATAAACCGTGGTACAGTTGGCACACAGGTATGGCAAACCTTGTGAGGGTGTGACTCGTGACTGATTAAAATGTAGAAAACACTGATAGCAGTGCTGGTGTGTAAGGTATTATATGCTGCATTTCATTTAAGCCTCACACAGCCCTGTGCCACTGGCCAGATTTCCTCTACTATACAGATGTAGGATTTGTCCAGGGTTACTCAGTGAGGCAGTGGCTGAGCCAGAGTTCAAGCTCAAGTGCAGACCTCTGTCCACCCCACTTTACTACTGTCTCCCTGCCAGGTCACTACCAACAACATACATAGCCCTAAACACAAATATTACTAGGGCACCACACAAACACTACAGGCTTCCGACACTCACTTTTGGTTGGTCAGATACCGATCCCAGCCACGAATAATGTTGCCATACATCTGAGTGTCTTCCAGGTAGCTTCCTTCAAAAGCATAGATCTGTCTCTCTAAGTTTGCCAGTGTTTCCTGAAAGATGAAAAACAAGGAAGTGGTTAATGCCTTCTACATGCAAGCATTAAGCCTAACCAAACTGAAATCTTACTATCAGACTTATAAACTCAAGTTCAACTATACAGAGCCAGCCTTGCGGAAAGAAGGATGACATGCGCAGGGGCAGGCTGTTTCAGACCAAGACAGTCTAGACCCATCTTGTTGGATCCCTTTAAGAATAAAATGGAATAGAAAGAGCCTGTCCCCATTAAAATGTACACCCATGCCAAAGTTTGCACGTACTCAGGGGCTTCGTGGAAACCCAGCTGTCAAGAACCTGGGCGGAGGAAGAACATGAGCAGTCTCTACTCCCACGCATAAAAGATACTGCTACCCGGAGAGGGAAGGGTGATCAGCCTTCCAGAGCCAATTCGCTCCCCTCCCTGCAGGCTCCGAAACGCCGCGGGCACTGGGCTGCGGTTGCTATGGAAACCTGGAAGGGCAGCTTCAGGTGAGATGGGCCTCCCGATGCCCAAGCCAAAACGCAAGGGGAGGGAGGGCTTAGCCACCAGGGTGCAAGGGGTCCCGGGTGCGTGTCACAATTCCTAATTCCCTAGACTGAGTCCGCTTCCCCTCGCATGTCACCTTCTAAGATGTTCCCAAATACATCACAACCCTGCCCATCAAAAACCGCATCCAACTAATCTACTCCTAGTCCCCAAAAGGACATGCGCCCCTCCATCTTCCAAAGGCCTGCCTGGATGTGTGGGTCCCCCTCCCCACACCTGTTTCCTACCCCACCCCCCAAAGCCCACTGGCAAGCCCGAACCAATCTCCTACAGCCTGCCGACAAGCCCGGTCCCCATCCCTCAAAGATCGTGGACCCGCCCGCCCTCGCCCACCCCGCAGAGCTCATGGACACTCTCCTCTCCAGGGCTCCCGCACGGAAGCCCCCACCCCCTGGCGCCATCCTTCCTCCACGCCCCCACCTGCCTAGTCCCCCTCCCCCTCCCCGGCTTCGCGCCCCGCCCCCGGCCCCGGCTCCCTGTTCCGGATGCGCACGGCCGGGAGGCCGAGGCGCCGGCGGGCCGCGCAATGCGCAGCCGTCCTCAGGCCGCCGGACTCCCAGCCGCCGCGCTGCGCCGGCGGAGTAACGAGCGGCGCGGCGGGGCCGGATCCTGGAGGCGGAGGCAGGCACGGGGCCCCAACCCGGGCGCCCCCGGTGCCAGCCCTCACCGCCAGCTCCTGCTTCCGCTTCACGAGCTCCGCCAGCTCCCGCCGGGTGTCCGGGATCTGCGGCGGCGCCGCCTTGTTGTGCATCGCCATGTTGTGCCGAGGCGGGCGGTGGCGGGGCCAGGCTGGGGGCGGTCCTTGCGCGCCGCCGCCCGCCAGGGGGCGCCCGCCGCGACACTGCGCCTGCGCTCGCGGCTTTCGGAGGCTCGCGGTGCCGCGCCGAGCTCCCGCCCGCGGGCTTGCGCGCGCCCTGCCAGGAGGACCTCAGCATTGGGCTCTGCTCTTCGTCCTGGCCGAGTTTCTGCACCACAAATTCACCGTGTCCAAAATCAGACCTCTCCGAAGTCTCGTCAGTGAATGACTTTCATTGTCCGACGAATTGCCCAAGTCAGAAACATGGGTGCCATCCTCACCCTCCTTCATCCCCTTAATCCGATCCAAAACCAAGTCAAGCCAAGTGGACTCGACTCCGGAAGAGCCAGCAAATCTATTTTCTTTTGTCTGCCACCTCCCTCGTTCATCCAGGCTCTCCTTATTTTTTTTTTTTTCTCCTCATTTTTTGATACATTATTCCAACAGCCTCCTGTTTCCACCCTTAGCTCCATTTAATCCATTATCCACAGTGGTGCCAGAATGATTTGTTTTTGGAAAGCAAATGTGGTGTCGCTCCCTTGGTTAAAACCTTTTCATGGCTTCCCGTTGCCCTTTAGGGAGACAAATATGTGTGGTAGTTAAGGGCACAAACGATCCAGAACTACCTTGTTCAAAATCCTACCTCTACCATTGATAAGCTGTGTCACCTTGCGCAGGTAGCTAAATTTCACTTGTCTCAACTTCCTCATCTATATAATAGAGGTAATAATAGTGCCCACCTAATACAATTGCTGTGAGAAGTAAATCACTTAATGTAAGGGGCTTGGCAAGTAATAAGGACTATGTAAGTAAAATCAGTAAGTCTAATACCATTAACTTTGTATTCACCTGCCCCCTGCTTACTTCTCCAGTCTCTGATCTCTCCATTTTCCAGGGTTCTGCAATTTCACTGGGAATCTAGGTAGGATTTTTATTTTTTTTAATCTTTCTTGCTTGTTTGCTTTCCTTTTTTCTTGCATTCTTCTTTTTTTTTCTCCCCTCCCACGTTGCTTTGAAATTCTTTGTTTCTTCAATCGTGGATTTGTACTTTCAACAGGTTTGGAAAATTCACAGCTATCTTTCTTCAGATATGCCTCTGCCTCATTGTCTGTCTCCTTCTGTAACTTAGATTAAACATAAGGATCCTTTTTTTTTTTTTTGCGGTACGCGGGCCTCTCACCGTTGTGGCCTCTCCCGTTGCGGAGCACAGGCTCCGGACGCGCAGGCTCAGCGGCCATGGCTCACGGGCCCAGACGCTCCGCGGCACGTCGGATCCTCCCGGACCGGGGCACGAACCCGCGTCCCCTGCATCGGCAGGGGAACTCCCAACCACTGCGCCACGAGGGAAGCCCAGAATCCTTTTTTTACCCACTGTTTTTTCCATCCTTTTGTCTCTGCCGCATTCTGGATTTCTTCTATGTGTTGAGCTTGTAAACTGGGGTCTTGCTAAATTCCTTTATTAATTGCAGGAGGTTTTTTGGTAGATTCCTTGGGATTTTTAATGTCGACAATCTGCAAACAGGGAGATTTATTTCTTTTTCCTTTCCAGTCTGTGTGCTTATTATGTCCTTTTCTTGCCTTACTGTGCTGGCTAGACTTCCAGTACTATGTTGAATAAGAATGGCCAGAGAAGATATCCTTGACTTGTTCCTTATCCTAAGAAGAAGGTATTCAGTCTTATCAGGTTGAGGAAGTTCCCCTCTATTCCTGCTTTACTGAGAGTTTTTATCATGAATGGGTGTTGAATTTTGTCAAATGCTTTTTCTGTATCAATTGACATGGTCATATGATTTTTATTCCTTAGCTTCTTTATTTATCTATTATTTTTGGCTTTGTTGGGTCTTCGTTGCTACTCTTTGTTGCGCTGCGCGGGCTTCTCATTACAGTGCCTTCTCTTGTTGCGGAGCATGAGCTCTAGAGCGCAGGCTCAGTAGTTGTGGCTCATGGGCTTAGTTGCTCCGCCGCATGTGGGATCTTCCTGGACTAGGGCTCGAACCCGTGTCCCCTGCATTGGCAGGCGGATTCTTAACCACTGCGCCACCAGGGAAGCCCCCTTAGCTTCTTGATATAGTAGATTACATTGATTCATTTTCAAATGTTGAACCAGCTTTGCATATCTGGAATAAATCCCTTGGCCATGTTATATAATTCTTTTTACATATTGCTAGATTCAATTTGCTAATATTTTATTGAAGATTTTAGTAGGTATGTTCATGGGATATTGGTCTGTAGTGTTTTTGTTTTTGTTTTGTTTTGTTTTGTACTGTTTGGTCTGGTTTTGGTATCAAAATAATAATGGCCTTATAAAATGAGTTGAGAGGTGTTCCCTGCTTTTCTAATTTCTGGAGATGGTATAGAATGGTGCTAATTCTTCTTGTAATGATTGGTAGCATTCTTCAATGAAACCATCACCATCTGGGCCTAGATATTATTTGGGGGGAAGTCTTTTAATTACAAATTCAATTTTTTAAAATAGTTATAAGATTATTCAGATGATATATTTAATAACAGGTGAAGTTTTGTAGCTTATGGTTTTGGGGGAATTGATCCATTTCCTCTAAGTTGTTAAATTTATGTGCATGAATAATTTCTTTCGACCTATCTTCCAGTTCACTAATTCTCCCTGAAGCTTCTGTTAAAGGGATTTATTGATGGATTTAGTTATTGTATTTTTCATTTCTAAAAAGGTTCTACTTGATCTTTTAAATAACTCCCATTTCACTTGTTGCCATTTCTTGTCATTTATTTCTTTGAAAATAGCAACCATGAACGTTTTATAGTACCTTGTAATTCAAGTATCTGAAGTCTTTGACAATCAGTTTCTGTTACCCGTTATTTCGATTGGTGAGAACCTTTTCTTGTATGCTTTTAAAAAAACCAATTGTATCTTTGCAGGAAAATATGTGGAAATAACTGGAGGGGAGATAAAACGTCCCTTCCTCCAAAAAGTAATTTCATTTATTTATATCAGACACCTGAAGACACAAATAGTACAGGGTCGTTTCTTCTTTTTTTCTTCTTCTTTTTTTCTTTGTATTTAGTACAGGGTCATCTTAAGCCAAGTTCAGGGCTTGATGTTTTCTGAGCTCCAGCCTGCAAATCCCTGGGAGAACTCAATTTCTGTTCCACTCTTATTCTGAAAGGTATAGCTCTCTGGCATGTCAGCTTTTTGTGGGAAACATGTTCTATTAGACTCATTGTATGTGGGCTTTGGGTTTTGATTTTTGTCCCATTCAATCCAGGGCAAGGTCTGATTTGCTAGAATCAAATATGGTTTGTCTTTATATCAAATGTGGTTTCCAGGCATCTCTGCTCCATTTCTCTCTGGATTATTGTCATCTTCACTTTTGGCCTGATAACTCTCTACTTACTTGTCAGTTCTTGGATGCCTTCAGACATTTTTTAATTTATATTTTATCCAGAAATTTTAGCTGTTTTCAGCAGGAGGATTCATAAGAATAACTTAGTCAGTCATTAATAGAAACCAGAAGTCTCAATCACCCTCTTTCCCCCATTGAACTTCAAGTGCTTCCAAAGCCTCATTTATCACCTTAGGCTTTTCTCAGTGCTAGTCTCTGTCTAGAAATATTTGCCTGTTTTGGCATCTGCAAAATGTAATGATAATAGAAGCCTGCCTCATAAGGTTATGAGGAGGAAATGAGTTAATGTATGCATTTGTGCAACATGTAAAATGCTCAGAACTGTGCCTTGTACATAGAAAGTGTTCCTAGACATTGGCCAGTTTTATTAGAGGTCTCAGTACATGTATTCTTAGGCTCCCCATGATTAAATATTTGTCAATTTTTCTGAATCAACATGATGATTTCCAACTAGTTCTGACTATGACTAGGTGAGGTGAGGATTTACCTAAGCCACACCCTACCCGTGAAAGTCCCACTCACTAGGATTTCCTTGAACATCCTGTGAATCAGGAAGTCTCATGGACCAGCTGTCTCTTCCCTCCTCCAAACTCTCCACGAAGCTCCACTGGGGAGGTGAGAGGGAACAATTCAGATGAAAGACCACTGAACCAGGACTGAGGCCATTGCCATCCTAGCTCTACCACTGCCTTGCTGAGGGAACCTCAGGTAACAATTTCATAGGATCCTTTCCACATATTCCACTCCAGTCCTGTGGTCCCCTGGCCTGCTCAGTCTGAAACAACGTCCTCCTCTACTACTGGCTCAAAAATCTACCTATTCTCTAAGGCATACTTCAAATACCACCTCTTCTCAGCCATACAAAAGAATGAAATAACGCCATTTGCAGCAACATGGATGGACCTAGAGATTATCATACTAAATGAAGTAAGCCAGACAAATAAATATCATGTAATATCGCTTATATGTGGAATCTAAAAAAAAATGCAAATAAACTTATTTTACAAAACAAAAAGAGACCCACAGACATAGAAAAGAAACTTATGGTTATTAAAGGGGAAAGGGTGGGGGGAGGGATAAGTTAGGAGGTTGGGATTAACATATACACACTACTATATATAAAATAGATAACCAACAAGGACCTACTGTATAGCACAGGGAACTATACTCAATATTTTGTAATAACCTCTAAGGGAACAGAATCTGAAAAAAATATATATATGTGTGTGTGTGTGTGTGTGTGTGTGTATAACTGAATCACTGTGCTGTACACCTGAAACTAACATACTGTAAATCAACTCTACTTCAATAAGATACAAATAAAAACTAAACACAAATACCATCTCTTGCAAAAGGTGCAGCGCACCTCCAAATTATTTCTCCGTTTCTAACTCACAGCTGTAAACCAATTGCTAGCATAGTAAGTTTATGTAACCATTGATTGATTGGATTAATTCACTTTAACTTTAGAGTAAATATGAACAAATCAACTGTCTTTTGAAATTGTTTCCGGGGCTTCCCTGGTGGCACAGTGATTAAGAGTCTGCCTGCCAACACAGGGGACAGGGGTTCCATCCCTGGCCCCGGAAGATCCCACAT